TTGCACAGTGCATCTCGGAATTGTCGCATTTTTTGTGGCGAAAACATCGTACAAACCGAGGCGGAAGAACAACGCAACGTTTTTGTCGATGCAAGAACGTGCCAAAATTTGAGTTTTAGCACATGCCTGCCCCGTTTGCTCCACCCCGCGCGGCGGCAGACGCACGCGTGGCCAACAACAACAACAACAACAACAACAACCAACGATCACAACAATGTAGGAGGCAAAAAGCAACAACAAGCCAGGCGGGAGGCAAAAACAACAACAGTATCAACAACATCAACAACAGGTGGTTGTATGGGAATGCTGATTTTGGATAGTCGTTTGAACTCTTGTCTGCCATAGGATCGCAGCAGGTACACAAGCGTGATGAGCCCGTGCTTCCCATCAGATTCCGTACTTTTTTTTGGCACGGTCCGGAATCTGATGCCGTGCCCTTCTGCTTGAAATGTTAATGTTAGTCCTCGGGCAACCCTTGGTTTAACTATCAGGGTCCAGGGTGTAAAACACAATACCCCACAGGTAGTGAGGCAAGTAGTAAGTAGAACAACAACCAACAAACAACAAACAACACCAACACCAGAACATAAACTGCGAACAAAATAAAAAACGAACAACATACACCAACAAGCTACTGACATAAGGACAAAGACCAACGCCAAAAAAATCACCAACAAAAAGACAAGACAGCACTTAAAGCTAGACTTACAAACAAAACCTACTAACAACAACAAGTTAAAGAGTAGGGTTTGGGCTGTAGGGCTTAAGGCGCATGGGGCAAGGTTGTTAGGGTTTTCCTGCCCCCAACATCTACTAGGGAAAAGACAAGGAAAAAGGCACTACACCAACAACTAACAGAAGAACATGTTAATGAACAGCCAAGGATCCAGTTGCGATGGAACGACCGTGCTTGTAGCTGTGCGGACATACCCGTGGGTCGAAAGCATCTAGAATTACGAGCGGAATAGCTCCAGGCCAAGCTCGATTCTGATCGATCATGGGCTAAGCCGCGAGAACCTCGGGGTTTTCGTATCCTTCAGAGGTTTCAATCACTTCTACGCCCACCCGAAAGCTGGGATCACAGAGTGGCATGCTTGGGAGACACCGAAGGCCCAAAGACCGACAGCAGGTTGTTCTGGATAGTCGTTTGAACTCTTGTCTGTTGTAGGATCGCAGCAGGTACACAAGGGTGATGAGCCTTTGCTTCCCATCAGATTCCGTAGCCTTGTTAGGCACGGTCCGGAATTTGATACCGTGCCCTTCTCCTGGAAATGCAAAGGTCAGTCGTCGGACAACCCTTAATCTAGCTGTCAGGGCGTCGCAATAATTGCAGCAGCGACAACAACAGCAAAAACAACGACAGCGACAGCGAAAACGACAACGACAGCAACGACACCAGCGACAACAACGACCACGACAACCACAACAACGATTCAATTGCACGCTGCGCGAGCGGACTCCACGCATAGCGGGCATGTAACCGCGCTAAGCACTCACACAAGTCAAGTGAAACCGACCCGAAGATCAAGTCAAGCATGATTAGAAGCTAAGCTGCTACATAGTGGCTTCTAACGTGACCCACGCTTGACTCGCATCAACCGATCCACGCTGTGCTGCTCCGTACCCTTTGGGCCGACAGGCTTCCCATCTCCACCGAGCAGGGTTGCCTGCTGCGGCTGCCCCGTATCTGGATGGACCGTCGAGCACATGAGAGGGTTAAGAGATCTCCACATAGCAGGACCACGGTCTGAGTCCGCTGCAAGGTAAGGCGCCTGGCTGCAACCTGGGGTACCTGAACATATGTCGTCGGAATGGACTGCTGCGCCTCGCACAATTGCACGTTCCTGTCAGGCAGTGCGCGATTTTTTCACGGTGCGCGGTCTCAGTAGTAGGTCGCAAGCAAAGTGACTCTCAAAATTCAGCGGCTTGACCGGCCAGATCGATTTGGCCAGTAGCAAAGGTCAAGGGCCTGGTTGAGTTTGGCACTGCCACCGGAGTTGGCCCTGTGATTGGCCGGAGGCCCCGGTGCTGCTAGTGCCTCCATTGCCAGGAGGAGGACCAGGAGCCATAGTCTTGTTGCTGCTCCCACCAATTTTGGTTGGTCCATCCTCGCTGATTCCAACCTCGATCTTGACGCTGACGTTTGTCAGCTGAGGGAGCTGCGGCCTCGAGATGGCGCTTTTCGCGCTCCGTCTCTCGCTCGTGAATCAAGTGCTTTTTGGCCACCGTGTCACCGACCTTGTGGTCGCTACGCATTTTGCGGACGACTGTCCTATTGGCCTATTGGCTTTGGGCATGTAGGTGAGCAGTCTGTTCGGCAGTGCGCACGACCGGCAGGTTTGGTCATATAGGGACTTAATGGTGGGTCCACAATCTTGAAATTGGCGTCCGTTTCCAAAGTTGCATCCATTTCAACATGCTCCCACATCCTCTTCAAAAGGTCTCCCAAAACTCCAACATGGGCTGTGGGCTGAGACAGTTCTCTGTATGCCTTGCCTTCCCCCAGAGCTATGGTCAAATGACCGTGTCTTCCAGGTGGTCCCCTCCTCTGTCACAGAGAGATAGAGGGGAATGAAGACCCATGGCACATTGCGAAGCGTTTGCATGCGATGCTGCCACATGCGTACTCCTCCGTGAGTCCTCCTGTGATTATTTTCTCCCTTATGATCAGCACCGTGGCCAATGAATTTCATGGCCTCTTGGTCTTGTAGAGACAGGCCCGCTGTATAGCCAGTCAGGGTTCTGATGGCCACAGGCCCCTGATAGCGCACTTCCGCCATTGACGGAGTGTCCACCTCTGTGATGGCGGGTGTGGCCGAGGTCTCCTTTTGCTGCTGCGCCGAGTGCCCTTCCTTGGCAGATCCAAAGGGTGCAACAGGCTTGGATGCGGGTTCGGCGGCATTGGCGCCGAATCTCCTTCAACGGCCGGGATCGTCGTGCCGTGAGGCTTTGGTTCGGTAGCCGGCCAACTGAGATTTTGGCACAGGGGGTGGATGCTCCTTGGCGCTGCGCTGGGTCAGCCTGTTGCGACGCTGCAGCAGTAGTTTGCTGCAGCCAAGGTGGCGGCAAAGGTGCATAGTGGTGGAGGTCGGTGTGGACGGAAGTGCAGTCCGAAGCGTGCTGAGACTGCCGCTGACGGCGGAGTGTCTGGTGTTGGCTCCGGAGGGGACGGGGCTGGAGAACAGCAGGTCGAGTGACGAGACCACCCTTGGACTGGGGACCAAGGCGGCCTATGTTATTAGCCGGGGGGCCTAAGCCGTGCTTCTGAGTGGCTTGTGTTGTGGCGGTGGCCAAAAAAGCGCGAAGTACGCAGCTATTTTCCTAGCCACTTCCTCAACTGTACAGGCTATCTCACAGAGTCTTTGCCAGAGGCTCAAAAAAGCTTCCCACAAGCTTCGGATCATCCTGCTGCGACTTCGGTGTGTGCGTAGTCGTCTGCGTCGGATAGTGCCAGTATGCTTCGGGGGCGTCCACAATGCCCGGTTACGGCAGCAGGGATTTGAGCTTCTTCGGTGCTTCACGTTGGAAAATATGCGCCCTTTTGCACTTCTTGGCTGCCTTCTTACGGGGCTCTCGGGCCCGCGGGGGCACAGTCCTTGAGCTGCCGTGTGAAGCAAGTCTTGTCTAGTTTTGGGCAGATTGCTGCCTGGCAAGATTGGCCACATAGCCGTTTTTAGTGTTGCTTGCTTTGCTTTGTGCCCCGCTTGGTGTGCATCATGTTCTTCATTTGGTTGAACTTGCCTTGTGGCTGCTCAACTCATGGACTAGGACTAGCCTCATGCCCGCGAAGGTGCAGACAACCTGCACAAGCCTCCGAATGAATGAAGGAAGGAAGGAATGAATGAAAAAGACTGAATGAAAAAGAATGAATGAAAAAGACTGAATGAAAAAGAATGAATGAACAAGAATAAATGGAAAAGAATGAATGAATAAGAATGAAATGTGAATGAACGGATGAATGAATGGTTAATGAATGAAAATGAATGAAATGAAATGAGCTGAATTTAATGCAAGAAGGAATGAATGAATGACATGAAATTAAACGAAATGAATGAATGAATGAATGAATGAATGAATGAATGAATGAATGAATGAATGAATGAGTGAATGAGTGAATGAGTGAATGGATGAGTGAATGAATGAACGAATGAATGAAGGAATGGAAGGGAATGGGAAGAAATGAGATGAAATGAGATGAAATGAATGAATGAATGAAATGAAATAATGAAGTAATGAATGAATGAATGAATGAATGAATGAATGAATGAATGAATGAATGAAGAAAGAGCGAATAAATGAGCTAGCGGCTGAAATGATATGGCACGCCATGACATAGCATGACATGACATGAAGTGAAATGAAGTAACGAAGTGAAATGAATGAGTGAGTTCACGAATGTATGAAATGAAATGGTTGAAGCGAAATGAAGTGAAATGAACTGAAATGAAACGAATGAAGGAATTAAGTGGCAAAGAGTGACATGAAGTGACATGAAGTGGGATGAAATGGAATGAAATGAATGAAATGATGAGCTGAAATGAATGAATAAACGAATGAAAGAGCGAATGGACGAATTAATGACTAAAATGAACTGAATTGAAAGAATGAATGGAATGAATGAATGAATGAATGAATGAATGAATGAATGAATGAATGAATGGAAGAATGAATGAATGAATGAATGAATGAATGAAATGAAATGAAATGAAATGAAATGAAATGAAATGAAATGAAATGAAATGAAATGAAATGAAATGAAATGAAATGAAATGAAATGAATGAGATGATTGAAATGAATGAAGTGAATGAAATGACTGAAATGAATGAAGGCATGAATGAAGGCATGAAAGAACGAAATGGAAGGAACGACATGGGATGAACACGTGGAATGAAAGAAATGGACTGAAAGAAGTCGAATGAACGAGTGAATGAATGAATGAATGAATGAATGAATGAACATGAATGAAAATAATGAAGATGAACGAAGATGATGAAAATGGTTGAAGATGAATGAGAAAGAATGAGAAATGAGTGAATGATTGGATGGAATGAAGTGAAATGCAACGAAATGAACTGGAATGCATGGGTGAAACGACATGAAATGAATGAATGAATGAATGAATGAATGAATGAATGAATGAATGAAGGAATGAAATGACATATGTAATGACATGAAATTGAAATGAAATGGAAGGGAAGGAAATGAGATGAAATGGAATGAGTGAATGAACGAATAAATGATCGAATGAAATGAATGCAATGGTTGCAATGAAATGAAATACGACATGAAATGACATGAATGAAATGAAGATTGAATGAAACGAACTCCAACGACATGAAATGAAGTGAGATGAAATGAAATGGATATTGAAAAATGACTGACTGAATGAATGAAATGGAATGAAATGAACTGACATGACATGAAGTGGAATGAACGAATGAGCGAAGAACCGAAATGAAATGGAATGGAATGGAACAGAATGGAATGGAATGGAGTGAATGACTGAATGAATAAATTGAACGGATGGATGAATGATTGAACGAGTTGTTGAACTGAATTGAAGTGATCTGATTTGAATTGTTTCGAAGTGAACGAATGAATGAACGAATGCATGAATGAATGCCTGAATGACTGAATGGAATGAACGAAGGAAGGAAGGAATGGATGGATGGATGGATGGATGAATGAATGAATGAATGAATGCACGCATGAACGAAATAACAAAAAAACGAATGAATGAGTAAACGCAATGACGTGAAATTAAATTGAAATGAAATTGAAATGACAGGAAATGTCCTGAATTGGAATGGAACGGAATGGATGACTGACTGAATGAATGAATGAATGAATGAAATGCATACGTGCATGCATTTATGAACGAAGGAGCGACGGAATGAATGATGGAGTGAAAGATTGATTACTGTTGTTGTTGTTGTTGTTGTCACTGTTCGTATTGGTGTTGGTGTTTTTGTTGGTGTTGCGGTTGGTGTCGGCTGTGGCGATCATGTGTACACTACAGGCTCCCGCGTTGTTTGCTTCAAGAATCGAAAACACCGGCGACGGGACCTAGCCTAGCTGTTGTTCATTGTTGTTTTGTGGGGTCGCCGTTGGCAATACTTTCCATGATGAAGTCGGCACAAGAAGTTTCCCGCTTGTCATCCCAAACGGTAAAACCTCGAGCTGGAAGGCACGTCTACGAGGAGCTGCCAATTGGACAGCAGCCGCCTGCAAATTGTGTGGCGCCTCCAGCTCCAGACTGGCAGCGTACAGCCATGGTGATCCAGCCGCAGTGTGTGCATGGAATCCCTTTTTGGCGAGTCCAATTCCATCCAGCATTGCACCAGCTGAGGCAAGTGCAGCACAAATGGAAAATTCGCCGACAAGGAAACCGATGAATCGAACGTTGACAGATGCGGAGCTTACGCATATGGTCCCTTGATCAAGAGCCGACCAGTTTGTTCGGATTGTCGAGGTAGTCGCTGATTAGAGAAAAGTATCTGCCTGTTCAGTTTTGTTTTTGGTGAACGGCCTGGCTGACGAAAGGGCTAATCCTGCCGCTCATTCCACGCAAAGGCAATGTTGGGAAGCACCGGCAACGAGGACCTCCTCCAACATCGCATTTGGCCATCATAATTTTTCTGCACGTGGCAGTACGTGGAAGTGTTCGGCAATGTGGAGTCATGGTCGTGTCGCTTTAAGTCGTTCTCGATGGAAGAAAGGAAGGGGGCAAGCTTCGAGCATTCGAGCTTGCGTTTTGAGAGTCAGCCTTTGCAGGAGGGTGGCCGTGAACAAGCCGCCGAGATCTTGAAGGAACTCGGTTTCACATGTTCCACAGCCGTGTCTTTGCTATGCCTTCACGACATGGCAAACAGGTTCGGACTGTGAAGAGCGGAAGTCAGTGTTCACTGCAACAGCTGGGCACAAGTTGTAGATGCCATTTCTGAGACGTTTAGACTTGTTTGAGCGCAAGTCTGGGACCGAGGAGAAGACACGTGCCAGCCATCAAGAAATGCTTGAGAGAGAGGCAGCGAAAGCAGCCATCAAACCTGCGCGAGGTTTCCTGGCAGTTGCGGCACAACATGCTGACATAAGATGTTGTGGGTGACTTTGCTTGGATCCTTTTGGCGAACCATTGTAAGCTGAGAAGGTCGACCAAGTCCTTGTGACTGTGAAACCTGAACCTTTACCATCTGTTAATTCGAAAAGTTGTAGCTCTGTAGCTGAAAGGTTGGATGGTCGTTCATGGAGCCGACTTCGAGTCTAAACCGCAACAAGATCTGAATTCAGGATCGTGCCCAGCATTGTCTGCTGATGCAAAGGTAACTGTGTCGAAGGAGTTGGCGAGATTTCGGCACTTGTTCGTCAAGTGCGTGGCGCAGGCGGCTGGCGAAGAGTGCGCGTGTGCGCGCGCGCGCGCGCGCGCGGGTGTGTGTGTGTGTGTGTGCGGCACGCCTGCAACTTGCAGTCCAGGCACTCGACATTCCATCTGGAATCCTCACGGCTCCGCCCACAGCTGCTCCCCACGACGGGCACGTGAGTTGACGCTTGTTGTGTCACAGGTGGTCGATGTCACTCCGGGAAGCGTGGTGGTTGAATTCCTGGTTCATCCTTCCGCCAGAGCCGGTGATAACCGAAACGTAGCTTGGCCATAAACGTGAGATTATCGTGTCCGTCTGGTGCAAGTCCGCATGCGGTCTGGCGGTTATTGCAATTCCTACCGGCTTTCCGGATGCAGACAGGCAACCCAGCTGTTGATTGCCTTGGCAGCAACGGGGCAGCCAATAGAGTAAATAGAGACTGCGGAGCTTCTTTGTTGTGACTCCTTGTTTGGTCGACCGCCTGCTTTTTCTGTTCTTGGTCTGCCCAGACTTTACTGGTTTTCTCGCCTTGGCTGCACATCCCAACAGGTTGCACGCGAGGGGCGTGGAAGGAAGATCTGCTGTCTAGCAGTCGGCAATCGTAGCCGAACAAGGGAACGTTTCGGAGGGTTGCATCAGCGTGTGGGTAGCAATGCCTATCTGGATGATTCTACTTTAAGCTTCGGCCAAAGCACGGCCACATCAAGTGGAGAGTAGGCCGACCTCAAGCCCAAAGTACAACTGAGTTCACCACCATCTACCCAGTGTGGCTCGTCCAGTGCTCACCGCCGGCGGGTCTGGCCTGTGTGGCGTTAAGATGGAAAGCAAAGGAGCAGCTCATCAACAGCAACAGCACGCTCCGGCGTGGGCACTTTGGGGCATATGCTGCCAGCGCCGCTCGCCTCAGCAGCGATCACTCGCAGCGGGTTGGGAACGGTCGGGCTCTGCCAATCCAGCCGCCCGCTAGGCTGAGTTGCTTGTCGGCGAAACCCGGAGGAAAGCTGCGTTTCGGCAGCAAATGCTTTGACGCCAGCAGCCGGCAGCTGCGTGTGGCACCGGCCTGCCCGAGAATCAAGGTGCATGCTCTTTCCATCGCGGATGGGGTCATTTGCTGCGAGCTGAGTCTTGAAGCAGCTCAGGCGTATTGAGATTCCGAAGCTCGTTTCATAGCTGTGTTTCAAGGTTGCGATCAGTCAGTGCAATGCTGCAGCCCACAAGCAGTCCTTGACGAGGTGCCCCAGCCCTGCCCTGGGTTGTGTTGCACCTATGACAATGACATTGACAGGGCAACCCCGAAGACCTGTGGTTTAGTCATCGTGGCCATTCGTCGTTAATCCAATCTTGAACATGCCGTAAACGTTTCCTGCTAATCATCAGACATGCTTGCACAGGTGCTGGCACGCCTACGCATCGAGCAGAGACGTGCAGCAGCTTGGCGACAACCACATAGGGCCACCTGGCGACGGGTCCACATTCGAGTAGACTGAGGAAGCCGCGGAAGAGAAATACAAGCAGGCAGTCATCGAACTTCGACGACGTGACGAATCTGACGCTAAGCTACATCGAGAGGCATGCTTCATCCTGGTCGGTTTGAACGTTCTTAACAGCAGTTTGGCCTCCTCGTTGTGCTCGTCGGAGAGCTTGCAACTTGTCCCGAGGTCAAGTCTCTCACAAAGCTGCTTGATCTAGCCAAGCAGCAGGAGGAGGCCTTGCGCGCCGCATTGCGTGGCACAAAACCTTTTCAGCTGTGACGCTGGAGTTCTGCGGGCATGCTGTTCCGGAAGTCGACTTTTCAGAATCAGGTTGACATGCTGGCTAGGGCGTGTGCTGACCGAGAAGGGCAGCAGTTAGCCGAAGTTAGCCGTTGCATCGGCGCGGCAGTTGCATGGACACCGTAGGCAGCTGTGGGACACATTCGGCGCGCCAGACGGGATGTGCATGGGTTGTACAACACGACAATGTGTCCCCCCCGGTGGAAGCATGTGCTCCAAAATCCGAGGGATTGTGAGAATTAAGACCTGCTTGCATGGCACAGCCACAAATGGGGCAGCAGCTAAGCTTGTCGACTGATCCACCGGACGTTGGCAGCTTCACCGCCTATTTGTATGCGCTGTGGTAGCATGCGTGCAGGAGAAGAAGGAGGAACAACGAGATGCGGAAATGCAAGAGCTGCTGAGATTAAACAGGACATAAGCTCCACTTTTCCAGCTCATGAGCTGCAGCGTGCCCCTTGGTGGGAGCCGAGGTTTGGCAAGCAGCTTCTTCACCTTGAGGTGCGCTGTTAGAGTAGGGGAACCACGCACCCTCGGCGTATGGCGAGGAGCTGGCGAAGCTCCGGGCCCTGGACGTGAAGGAGGATTTGCGTGACCAGGAGGTCATCGAGTTGCGACCTAAGTCGACAGGAGCAGGATATAGCGCGAAGGAGAAGAAGGCAGTGGAGAATAGAGCTGCAGAAGGTTTCAAGGAAAATCTCAAGACCCAGAACAAGAAGAGCAAGAACAAGGTTCACAGAAGGGAAGGAAAGAGAAACTGCAGCTCCGCCGTCAAAGGCTGTGCACACCTTGCGCACCGATAACCCAAGAGCTTTAAACACACTGGCACTGTGCGTGTTGAACGCGAGAGGGATGGCAGGTAATGCTGCCATATCAAGATCTCAGAGACGAACAGGGGGTCGCTTTGCATGTTAGAAGTGGCACGCCCGAACTGTATTGCGCACTTGCTGTGCGGGTTGTTATGTCCTAGGAACGGGACGGGAGCTTCTGTAGTTACGGTGCCAGCTAGGTGGCAGCAGCAGTCGCCAAAGTGACTGCGAAGTGGAGTGATCAGTCTTAGGGGTCTGTGGGTGCGCAGGTGCAGGGAGGACAGATCATCGACACGAGGAGACAAAAAAACGTAGTCAGGTCTCGTATGATGCCGTCATTCGAGCGGGTGGTACAGATGTACTTGGGCGTTTCGACCTTTCAGGTCCTTCGAGGCGATTGTTGTTCCTTAGCCTTAGCCGACCCTCATTGGCAAGCTAAGCCGAAAACGACGCGGAAAAGCTTTCATCCACAAGGGTAGGCTTTAGGCGCCTGGCAGGCGCCTTGTTTTCCTCAACGTCCTGGGCAGCCAGCAACAACATTCAATTCTTGCAGCACCGAGGCAAGCTTGCCCCCATTGCTCCCACACGCCATCCCACGCCCAACTACCCCAACAAAAACTACATCCACAAGCCCGGGATTCCGGAAGAACAAACGAGGATGAGGTCGTGGCACTGTGCGCAGTCGATAGCTTCTCACTCCTAACACCCACTGTGCCTGCCAACCTCTGCCTGTCTCACATATTCATTGGGTTCAGGTTCAAGCAGGAGCTCAGTACGCTGGAGGAACAGCAGCGGCCGTCACAGTGATGCTTTCTTGAGCACTAGTAGATCGGGAGCCCGTTTCACCCACCCCCAGTCGAACCCCGGTAGCATGCTGATGTACATGAGCTTTTCATCCGTTCTCATACGTTCCACGGCAGCGCCACCCCAGTTTCACAAGACCTGCTGCGGACACAGCGTGGCAATTTCGCGGTGCACGAAAACACCAGAAGCTTAGTTCGCACCTTGTGATTTTGCACAGCGACGGCAGCGGTGTCTGAGGCATCATGCCAGGAGCCGAAGCTTCCGAACACTTGGAAGTCAGTCTGTGTTGGCCCCAGTTTCAGCTCACTGAATGTGCCCAGCAGAGCTTCAGCCTCGGCAGTCCGCGGCGTGGTGCCAGTCTGCAGGTCCAACTTTGGCTCATCTGTGCATAAGCATCGACTGTTGGGTTTTGTCGACTTGGGCCTGGCATTGGGCACCATCACAGCAAGACGATTGAACAAGGGACAGTGAGCATCCGTAGAGTATTCTGACTTGCCGCTGGCAGGGCCTAGCCTGGCAATGGGACCGTAGCAAGTGGCCGTTTAACGTCAGGCACGGCACGGGTAAGCCGAGGGCTTTGCAATGTTGGCTTCACTTGGCTTGAGACCAGGAGGCGCTCTTTCATGGGGCGCCGCAGTGACAGTCGTACTTACAAAGTGTCCTGGCCTGTATCTGGCCTGCGAAGTGCTTTGATGGCCCAAGACGGTATGCCTTGCCATTCGAGCACAAGAGCCGACATAGTATTATCACTTCTACAACCGAGAAGACGTTGGCAGTACCACAGAGCTGCTTTTACTCTTCCCTGAAAGAATTGCAGTGAATGACGGCCTGCTGCCGACTGACCTTCCTGTTTGCCGCAATTTTTTACGCATGCCTCGAGCTTGGTCCGAGGAGCATCGCAATCGAGATGACCGGCGTGGAGATCGAAAGCGAGTGGATAGAAGGGACTCCAGGTCTCTCGATCGTGACTCCAGACGGCCCGGTGTCGACCGGAGTGATTCACGAGCTCGAGACAGAGGCCTTCGAGAGAGACCAGAGAGGTCTAACGGAAATGCCGGCCGGCGGAGCGACGTCGCTCTGCCAAGGAAAAGCACAGGAGCGCCTTGCTGGCTCAGATAAGCCACTCGAAGATAGAATTGCCCTGAGGACAGCACGAGGATGCTGGTGCAGGCGCCGGTGTGCAACCGGGCGAGTCAGCATTTCGTCAGCATGCAGAGCCCTGCAAGAGCTCTGAGTGGACTGCAGGGTCAGCCTCACTGAGGCCATCAAGCCGATCTGGACTTGCAAATGTGGAGCATCGATGTTTGGACATATTACACAGTGCACTCGCTGCGGCAAGATGAAGCCGGAGGCGGACCTGCGCTTTGTTCAAGTTTGGAACATTCCTCCAGACGTTCTCAAGAAGCCGCTTCAGTGGTGCTTCAGCTCGGATTTCAAGCAGTGGCTAAATCTAAGACCATGGAAAGCAGCGACGTTCCTTGTCCACGCAGAACGTGCGTTCTTTGGTCTCGCACTGCTGTGCTGTGCCAATTAAGGTTTGTTAAGAAAGCTGGTGGAAGCTCCGCAGACATGGCTCCCGTTGCGGCGCAGCTGGTCATGGTTAAATCCCCGACAGCGAATGCAGATGCTCGGTTGTCACTGGTCGCGGACACCAAAGCTTATGTTCTTTTCATTACAGGCCCGTCAGCACACTGTGGAGCTTGCGGGAGCTGTCGTTTGCCAATTCAGTCTTAGTAGTGCCAGGAGCAAACCGCGGTCCGGGTCCTTATCAAATCTTTGAGCAACAGTTACACTTGTAAAGAGCGGGGGGAGGGGGAGCGGGGTGTGGCCACCTAAAACTAGGTCTGTTTGCCAGCTGAAACTGCGTATTCTTTAATTGTAGAGGTAAAGGGAAAGATACATAGCCCCCCGCAAGGCTGTTCTCACATGTACTGAACAGGGTCCACTGCAGCGCATGGCTTGAGACTGACATGAATCGACATGTAAATCAAGCGATCTGGGCACACCAATCATCTCATGAACATGCAGTCGAAGGAGGAATTGATCAAGCATAACTTGCCAGTCTACAAAGGTGCCTTGAAGCCTTTGCCCCTGCAACAAGTGTCTGTTTTGACTGTCACTTCCGCGTTCTGTTTGCCTAGCTTCCTCAAAGAGGTTCCTAGGTACCACTCTTTGTTGGGCTCCCTCTTAGAGGTTGATGCCCTGCTGCATCCCGTCCGTGCCGCATGTCGCGATCTGTGCTCACTGTGCCTCTCCTTGAACTTTGACTTAGTCGGAGGTGCAAACCCGTTTCATGAGATTTCATGAGGACACTACGGATTTTGCTTTGCATTCCTTCAGGGAAACCGAGAATAGCCAGGCCTTGCCGGCCTCCGGTTGCTTGCTGTTGACACGGACGGAAACTGTCAGTTTTTAGCTTTTCAGGCCGCTCTTAGCGATGCTTATGGTCCTTGGATGTGCGACATGCGCCAGCTGCGTGAGTCTTGTGTCCAGCACTTGCGTGAATTTGCTGACCTCAGCCCCGCTTTTCTCGATGGCATGCTCCTTACTAGAACATGGGGAGATTCGCACACTTTGCAAGCCGCCGCAAGTCTTCACCAAGTGAAGGTCTGTTTGTGGACTCCTTGGGATGACAGGGAATCTGTACTTGACATACAGCGGTGTTGACTATGATGCTTTCGTCTCCAAGCGCAGACAAACCAACAAGGCTAAGGGCGTACCTTACCTGCTGCCAAAGCACTCTCGTCACTCCCTTGCGGTTCCGTCCTCTGTAAGCCGTGCGCCTTCGGACATTAATGCCCGGATGTTGCATTTCAGTCTGTGCTGTCTTCCGGCTTTGTGCTGGTCGGCAAGGAAGCTCATGCTGCGTGGCTGGACTTGCCCAATGACACCTCTTACTGTGCTTGGTCGCGTGACCTCCTGGATAAGGCACACGTCGTCGTCACGACGTACAATGTTACCAGTTTTCTCACCCATGAGCCCTTCCTGTCTTCCTTTCCTTCCTGGATCCTCTTTGCTGGCTGTGCGGGAAGTTGGCTGCCGAGAAGAGGCTGCGTTGTGTTTGAAAGCCCGCTTGTCTTCACAGTGGATGCGTGCTAGCGTCTATAACAATCGCTCCTCTGAGAGAGGCGCAATCGGGGGATTGTTGGTAGCTGCTAAGCAGAGAGGCTTGTCTCCCTTGGCTCAGGGGTTGCCTAGCGCCTTGCAGATCCCTAGCGTTCAGGCTTGTCGCTGGCTTTTACAAGGCGTTGTGGTGTACGTTTTCAACGTTTGGGGCTTCGCAGGTGGCTCCCAAATCGACCTTGCCAGCTGCCATCTTGTCCAAATTTGGGAAACAGTTGCCAGTTTGGGCAGCGCTCCTATCCTCCTCTTGGGAGACTAATCTGAAAATTTTCGGCCGCAATTTGCGGCAGTTGTTCCAAACTACGTTTCTGAGGTTGATTGGAATGCCCCAACCCAGTCAGTTCAGCATTGGCATGCTTGTGCTGAAAAAGAGTTAAGAACTATTGTTCAGTCATCCGACCTCCAGTGGTTTAAATCCATGGAAGGGCGGAGTTTTAGAAAGCTTCGCTTGCAGCCGCCGTTTTCTGCTTCCCTGACTTTTGCACAGTCGTCTGTTGCGCAAGTTGATGGCGCGATACCCTTGGAGGCACGACAAGCGGCTTGGAGAAGCTGTTGTTTGTGGCATCACAGGACTCACCGCGCGAAGCAGAGTTCCTCCGTCAATTCACCTCCGTGCTGCATCACGATAAGCGTTTTAGCATTCTTATTTCGTCATTTCCTGCATGCCCGCCAGGAATCAGACTTTGGGTTTCCAAGCCTATCCGTTTGCAGCGGTTGAATGATTATCAGGTCCTCCTTGCAGACATCCGTTCCAGCGTGCAACAGCGTCGCCTGCAAGCACGGCGAAAGTCTTTAGTTGCTTCTGACGAGTCCCTTTCTTCTAGGGTTTTCAACTGGTTGTCAGGACCTCCTAAGGTTTGGGATGGAGTTGTTCCCTCAGGCCCTGCTTGCTCCAAGGAAGCTTCTTTTGACATGCTTTCGGTTTTCTGGAAGCAATGATTGGTGAAGCACCAGAGTGGCCAGAGTTGGGAAGCAGGGTTGCGCATGGTCGAGTCGTTGAACTGGCCCACACTTGACTTGCCTCCACTGTCAGGTTCTGACTTGCGCTCAGCCCTCAAGCATTCCAGGCCTACTTCAGCAGCAGGTGTTGATGGTTGGTCACACTCGGAGCTGTCTACAGGGTTCTCGCGGTTCCATTCGG